TAACAAATTATTTGGCCAATACTTAAAAAGATAAAAAAAATTATTTTTCGAAAAAATAAAAAAAATATTTTCTTCAAAAACAAAAATAAACAAAAAAATAAAATAAAATATAATTTTAAAGGACCAATTTAAAAATATTTTTTTGAGAGTTTTTTGGTCGTGTTGATTAGCATGAGGGGTAAGTTAACCAAGCCATTACTCTTTTTTTTTTTTGGGTAATTACAAAAAAAAAAATTCCCGAGTTTCGTGTGTTTTTCACTTTAAATTCCAGAATTTCAATTTCAGCAAATTAAACTCCTGAGTTTCATCTGTGTTTCAATTTGGTCCCTTCGACTATTTCCATCATATTAAACTACCGGAAATCTAGGTAGAATTTTAGATTTAAACTCACATGTTCAAACACTTATATTTCCATCGTTGTAACTCCGGTTTGCCTCATTTTTGAGTCGTTGGATTCATCTCATGGCCTAGCTTTCATTCCACTCTTCATACACCTTGTTCCAGATCTTTTTACTTGCGTCAGAGCTCCGAAAGTTTGCAAAAAATATGATTTTTCTCTCTCTGGGCAAAATTTTTAGATTCAAACCACATGTTCAAACACTTGTATCTTTCTCATCGTAACTCCGTTTTGCCTCATTTTTACGTCGTTGGATTTACATCATGGCCTAGTTTTCATTCCACCCCTCATATGCCTTGTTTCACCTTTTTTTGCATACCGTTGGAGCTCCAAAAGTTGGCAAAAAATAAAATTATTCCACCCCTCAACGATTTTTTTTTTTAAAAGGAGAATAAACTTATTTTTGGTCAACTTTTGGAGGCCAGACGGCATCCAAACAAAAACAGAATGAGGCATCTGCATGGTGGAATGAGAACTAGACCGAGAGATAAATCTGACGCCGCAAAAATGAGGCAAATCGGACTTACGACAAAGGAGTTAGCAGGGCTCAAAGTGAAGAGTGAACTTGAAAAATTATGCTTCTCGCGAAGTTCTGCATGAAGGTGCTACATGAAGATGGCATGAGAATTTATTGTGCACTTTTTGGCGTAAAGTGTTACGTTGCATCCTAGTTTGTTCAAATCAATCAGGTGATCCGATAACTTCGAGAATGTCTACCCTTGCATTTTTCGCCGCATAGAATCCATTTTTGGAGTCCAATTTTGCAAATTCTGAGTCTTGTATTGGGATCAATAAGCCGGCCAATTGGGAACATTAAATGATAGTTCACCGGTCAGATCGTGTCCGATCAACGTGCGATTTTAACAGCAGACTCCTAGAGCTAGGCCATGATCATCCATCAAACAACAAGCTTTCATCCACAGGCATTCAAGCAGTTTAACAAGTAAGCACTTAGCCTCATGGCAAGCATGCTAGTTATGGGAATCACTCACATTCATGCAAGTATGCTAAAGCATTAAAAACTCACCTAGTACTCCAAGTTAAGAAGATATGAGTTAGAAAAATATGCACGATTCCTAACTATGGTAAATGTCTAAGGCAACACATGCAATATGCATTTACTAGGCTCAGCTACTAACATGGCATATGGGTCAAGTTAAGACATGCTGTCTGTGGGAGCCAGAATTTTATAGGTATTAGCTTATTGGGCCTAACCCAAACAAAGTCTACAATGGGTCCAGCCCAAACAAATATCACACCCCCCATCTATATAAAGGGGGGGCATCCCAAGTGGAAGGTATGTCTCATCTCCCTCCACAGAACACACACCCCTTCTAATATATATATACTATTTACTTCTTGATTCAGGGAGTGTCAAGAATTCCAAGACCTCTAATCTCTTAGTGCTGGACAACGATGAGCCAAGTAAGAAGAACTTATCCGGGTTCCTCTCATCTATTTTTACCTCCACCAAGTCCTCCACCGCTTTCTGATCAGCCTCTTTGCCGACGTCCGCGAATAGTTCATTACTTTCTGGCTCTTCCACCGAATGAACATATCCTTTGGCCGCTCGGCTTCCATTCGCTGTGGCGAAGCATTGTTTTGACATGATCTGATCGCCATAGACTTCTTCAATTATGCCGGTGTCGTTGGGGAACCGCATTACCTGATGGTATGATGACGCTACCGAACGCATGGCATGCAGCTTTAGTTGTTGTCTTGCAGCTTTAGTTGCTTGAATGTGTCGTAATACATGATCTCACATGAACTACCCTGGTCAATCAGAATCCGCTTGACGTCAAAATCCTTGACTCGGAGAGTGACAACCAGGGCATCATTATGGGGGCAGTAAATTCGTTCCAAGTCCTTATCCGAAAAGGACATGACGTTTGTTGCCTCTGTCCTCCCCTTTTTGATGGTAGGTTGGGCACTTAATACTTCCCTGAAGTGCTCAGCCTTCTTGATTGAACCTCTGAGCTCGCACACGCGCTCAGGGTCAAAAACTCCATGAATTACATTGATAATGCCTTGGGGTGGTGCATCGATTGGCATTCTATTGGGATGGTCATTATGATCTTGGGGGGCCGGTTGCGTCCCTCCTTCAATGTATTTGTCCAAGTGGCCTGCTGCCACCAATTCTTCCAAGTGTTGTCTCAGTGGCATGCAATTTTCAGTTCGGTGCCCCTTTTCTTTGTGGAAGGTGCACCGTGATCTGTCATCGTAATTTTTCTGAGCTTCCCCTAGCTTGGCTGGCCACTTGACAAAAGGCTCATCTTTGATTTCGCTCAGAATTTGATATATTGGTTTTTTGAACACCGTTGTTATGGCAGTGCGGATTCTTAACCATCTTTTGTCTGGGTCTTCTCCGTTATCTCGTCTGCCACGTCCGTTCTTGTTACTTCGGTCAACTGTGTTGACCTTGGCAGGGGTTTTCTTTTCTGGTGATGCGGTCGTACTTGATTTTGCCTTGGCACGTGCGCCATCCTCTTCTACCCTGATGTGCTGATGCACTCTCTCCATCAGGGCTTCCATGGTGAGGGGTG